GGGTCGTTAGATTGTATATAGTGTATTTTCCTCAGTTTGCTTTTATTATCTTGTTAATAAATGCTTGTGTTTATACATGCTGGTTTATTTAATTTCGCATAAGAGTGGGTGATACCAGCCTCTTCTATTCCGAACTCCAAAGCCTTCCACTTTAACTATTAATAGTGATTTTGGTTGTAATTATTGAATTATTTAAATAAATAAAAATAGTATTTAATTAATAATCTGATTTCTTAATAATAGTTTAGTGTAGAGACTGATCAATCAATTATTGGCTATCGTTTCCCTTACTTAAGGGTAGTGCCCAGAGGAACTTTAATGTTAATTAAAGTCATTTTTTATTATCTTTTGATAATTAATAAACTTTGATAAGCAAAATTAATTGATTACACTTATACATTTAAACTGTGATTTATCATAGCACCTACAACACAAATCAGTCAAAACCACAACAAACCATTTGAGTAATGTGTGTTAAGGAGCAGAACCACACACTGGGCACAGTAGTAGAGTACTTACTTTGGGATAGTCCTCCATGGCTGACTAAAAAGTGCTGAAGGGCAAATTATACATGTATGACATACAGTAAGACAAAGCTGTATTTTTAAAGTTCATCAACATTATGCATTATATTCTGTGAACGTTATCATTATTACAGTTTGAATCATTTTTGCAATATCTTAGAGGAAGGTAAAAGTGTGACAGATCAGGACTTACCTCCTCCCATAGCTGTAAAATGAGACATTCACTTCTGTCCAACCCTGCTGCTAAACACTGCTCAGTCGCGCGCATTGTAATTAAATCATCCCTCGGAGAATCTCAAATGTTAACATACTATCGTCGGCACACTATCACGTCAAGCCGGATGGTCACTCTCGCCGTGGTTTACACGAGAATGGCAGTAACCAATACGAAACCATGTACCACTTTGAGACATGAAAACGCTTCTGCAGCAACTGTAGGTAAGCACGAAATTACAACAGACCGCTAGAACGCATGTTCATGCATCAGGTGTACCACACCCACACAGATGAAGCGACCAGCATGAAACCACACAGAGACACCTCACGCACTAGAAACCATCAAGACATCGGCTCAGCTTCAAATTTAACCTAAATCTACAACTCACTCATCAATTCAACGTATGTGCACAGAGCCCATGTCGCCGGAAACGGCTGTACTAACACATAAAAGTAAATGGTAACAATAAAAGTCGCACAGATTTTTAGATTAAAAAGTTTTTTTTTTTATAAAATTTAACGCCACAACAAATACAGACCCAGACCGGCGGAAAAAGGTGACAGCTCCATTCTCTGAAGTACGCAGGTAACAGGCGATGCTAGGCATCGGGTCGGACGCTATTGCAGACAAAATCGACCTTTTGATCAGATTCCAAGAGGAATGGATCCGGTAGAGTAGGTCCGAGTTCCTTCCTTCCCACAATCCAGGAACGGGGTTTCGATATTTTCCTCATGTTGGTAAGGATCTTGCTGGGCAGGAACACGACAGCGCCCAGACGCTATAAATCGGAAATTAATGCATTATACTACA